AAACTGGTCGAGCTTAAGGAACTCACCATCTAATATTCGTCCATGATAAATCAAGGTCACTTAATTTTAGCAGAACACGATGCTGATTCCACTGAGGGTTCAGAATCGGGTGAAAGCGGGTCTGTTGACGATTCGGACAGCTCCACTGATAGCGAGGAAGGCGACGAAGATGGAGAGGATGATGGCGATCAAGGGATGCACGGCGAGGTGGGCCGTGATAGTATTTTAGTTTGACATCTGTGCTGTTAATCTAGCTAGTTTTGCATTTCTTCAGGAAACCGCTGTGGACGCATTGAAAGCGGATGAAAATGTGAACGTGAGTGATTTTTACTTTGGCAGGGGTATATGAAAAATCTAGTTTTCGAGAGCACTTTTTTATTTGGTCATATTTGTGGCCTTAAAATTTGAAGTTCATAGTATTTACCTCTGGAATGAGCTTGCATTAGGAGGCTTGTTTTTTTTTCTGCTAAATATATCTGTTGAACTCTTCCAGCATCCTCCCATCTGTGGTTTGTGCCTAAATCTTTCTGAGATTGCCAAAACGGAAGAAGTAATGCGGTGCGACAAGTGAGTCCTTTTCCTGCATTTCGTGTCAAGTGAAATCTCAAGCCTTCCTTGGGCTATCGCCTGAATCTGCGATTAAGTAATTGAATTTCAAGCTCTTATTCCAACCTTTTCGTTAAGATGCGGTCTCACCGTTCACGATTCGTGCTACCCCTCATTAGATATGAGTGAAGATAGTGACAGCTCTCAATCCACTTCATCAATGGAGCCGTGGTTCTGTGAGCCATGCGTGTACGGATACAATGAGCCGCCTTATTGCGAACTGTGTCCTTCTAGATATGGAGCGATGAAGAGATCGGGTATGTTGCTATCTGCCGCTTTACTACTTACATGTATACTTTTCTCTACTCGAAAGAGTCGTTCAGATGTTGGTGGCCGTTGGGTACATCTCGTTTGCGCCCTCTACACACATGGCGTGACTTTCGGGGACATCGATCATCTCGGTGCAATCAGCTGGCAAGAGATGGATCATCGAAATTTCGGGCGCAAAGTTGGTTATTCAAGTTTGCGGTCGCGTTCAGCTTGTCTTTTCATTCAATCTTTCTATTGAAAGGGATTTATGCCATGGGAAATGATTAAGTGGATGATCATCTGTTATTAATCGGTAGTTGACTGCCTTAATAAGAATTAATTTGAATGGTTGCATCCTCTCGAGTTAAGCTTCTAAAAATATGTCTATCGCTCGAGGTGGGCTTTATTCTTGCGAAGAGGCACTAGGTGGAATAAGGGGATCAAAGTGGGCGTTAGTGCGGCTGTCAGGTGAGCATATGACCTTCTGTCCCATGCATCGCTCGTTATGAATGGCACAATTTGGGGACTTGCTTTCGTTTCTCTAAACTATACATCATTCAGCATGTAGTGTGGACTAAGGAGAAATATAGTATCTACAAAGTCGCCTTAAAAATGAGGTTGACCTTTGCGAAAGGAAAAGGGATGAAGAAACTGTGTAAAAAACTGCATTGTATTTGTGGGCTGTCACTGATAAGTGGTGAAGTTGTGGGAAGAATCTGCTACAAAATGGAACCCATCTGAATGAAGAATCTCATGGCAGAATTTATAAGCTAGTTTTTCCTTTTGTATTCTAAAACTACATCGAGATTAAGCCCAATTTTCGCTTTAGAGTTGCAGTGGATGTACTGATGTATTAGAAGCTCGGTCGGGTGTGACAACTCGATGCGAACTTGGTCTGTGTAAGCAGTATTACCATGTGACATGTGCACAAAGGTGAGTTTCTTGAAGTCGTTATCAGTTCAGAAAAGTATCCAAATATCCACCCCCAAAGGTGACAGTCAAGAAGTTTAATAAATTTTGTTCAAGGCTAGGATTATTGGTGGACCATAGCGAAGATCTGGATCACACTAGCGGTGGTGGCTTTCATCGGCGTGGTGAACACCACACGGTCGAACCTCGCTATATCAATTGCAGGCAGCACTCCAACCCTGACGATGTGCGTGTGAAAAAGCAAGCGTAAGTTTTTAGTTTTCCTTTTTAGGTTTCTTCCTTTCACTCAATCATGCTATATCGTCATAAATGTGTTGATCGCATGCGATTCTCTCAATATTCTCATTCAAGGGCTGCGCGGTTCTTAGCTCAAGAGGAGCGTCGGCTACTGATGGTTGGCAAAAATGTGTTATCCGAAAGAGAAGAGCGTAAGAGACTGAGAGCTCGGGAAAGATATGAGAAACAGTTCCAGTCGTTGATTGGAGTCACCATCTGTCTACCGGAGGCGTTTCATGACAAGGTAGGGATCACACCGGCAATTCTGCTTGTTGTCAAGTTGATCCTTTTTATTCATTTATTCAGCAAGAAAAGAAAGTACGAAGGGCTCGCCATTTGACAACTTCACCTGAGTTTTTTGAGTGGTTTCAAGAAAAGGCAGAAATAAGCGGAGTGGAACCCGAGCAGTTTAGAAAGGTTCGAATGAGTTTATGTGAAGGTTCGTGTGAAAAGTTGAGATGTTCTTCGTCCTAGGAGTTTACGAGGGTCACTGGCGATACCATTCCATTTCTTACTCCCGGATTTTCTACGCAGTTCTTTGAGTGAGTGTTAGTTGTTTATTTTTGTAGGCCTTATTTCATCGGATTGCGTGTCACTTATTGATTGTGCTGCGCCTAACCGTATTTGTCATCAAGGTATCTGGACAACCGTGAGAGAATCGTCATAGCAGCCGAGGAACAGAAGCTGCGGGCAGTGAATGAATCTAAGGTTGCACTTGAAAAAGCAGCTTGATGCCCAAGTCACAAAGTTGAAATTGGTGAGTTTTTTCCTCACAAAGAGTGGAAGAGATGTTCCCTGGTCGGAAATTGTGCAGATAGCTGCGGCCAACGTTGGTGTCATTACCCATTTAGCACTTCAGATGCGCTAAAACGGCGCAGGTGATAATGGCCACTTGTGACCACACTAGCGTCTTCGTTTTCCCCGGCCCGTTGATTGGTACTCGTGCTCAGTAAACGCAATAAATGTTGCGTTGAACATCTGTCAACCTGCGCAGTTCACCACGCAGGCCAGATCCATTCTCTGTGCCTTCATGGTTTCGATGGAGCATGGTTACGGGGCGTCTCTTCAATGGATTAGTCCACCGATCAGTTCATTTTCGTACATGAAATTCTGCGAGCTTCAAATTTTAGTACCATGTGCTTGTTCATATGCTTAGCTATCAGATTTATGGATTTTTTGCGAAAGGAATTAGGTAGCATTGCTTAATTTCCAAAAACATCTTGTCATTGAGAACCTTCACTGCATTGTTTTACTGTTCGAAGTTATTTAAACACAGCGGATTTCTGCGATAGGCCGGCTTTCTTTACATCTTCAGAAGTATGCCTTGTTCAGAATGAACAACTCGGAGAAATGGCGAGGGTGCGTAGTGAGCAAAGAAAACAGTTGGCGATCGCGTTCCATCGCGCACTTATGAGGCTTGGCGCTAAAAAAATTCCTGCACATTGTCCGGTATCGAGTGACAATATTGTGAGCGGGAAAACGTGAGTTTTATGTGACATATCGATTTTCAGTTCATAATTCCATGATATTTGGTGGCAGTTGTTGTCATAAATTTTCTAATTGATCTTTTTATTTTTCCTCTGTTTAGACCAACTCGCCCTGTGAGAGATTCTCCAAGCCTCAGTTGTGGAACGCCGCCGCCAAAGCTGAAGAAAGAAGTGTCGATCCATGTGTGCAAAGAGTGTAGAAAGGTCAGCGGCGGTGGCGCGACGTTGTAATAAGTTCTTCGGTGGTGGCCGATGTGCACCGATGTCCGAGTGGTTAAGGAGATTGACTAGAAATCAATTGGGCTCTGCCCGCGTAGGTTCGAATCCTGCTCGGTGCGAACATTTTGCATTTTCTACACAGAGCACTTCTAGCACTCGGTTTTCTTTGGAGTTGTAATTTGTGTTGTGATTTTATCAAAAAAGGGAACGAAATGGAAATACAAAATGGAAATCGATGTCATCAAGGTGTGCGCTGCAATTAATTTTCGTTAGTCAGCGATGTGATCTTTTCGCATAAAGCATTCTCTGGCGGCGGCCAATGTGCACCGATGTCCGAGTGGTTAAGGAGATTGACTAGAAATCAATTGGGCTCTGCCCGCGTAGGTTCGAATCCTGCTCGGTGCGAAATTTTTGCATTTGTTGTAGAGTGTCCCATGAGAAGTTCGTTTTGCATAGATGGCGATAACTTTTCAAATTTTTCAAATTTCAAAAAATTTATCGGTTACTTCCTCCTTTACTCGGAAACGGTACATTTCATTCCAGATATTTTGGTTAATGTTAAAATTTTCAGGCAAGTGATCAACATTTGATGGTGGGATGTGATTCTTGTTACGAATACTATCACATTGGTTGTCTTGATCCGCCTCTTGAAAAAGTCCCGAAGAAAGTGTGTTGCTTTTCAATTTCTTTCAAATCCAACTCGCTTATAGAACATAATTTCATTTCATCGTACGTTCGATCTTTTTTTCATCAAGGTCAACTGTGAGTGGCACTGCGCTGACTGTTGTGACAATAGTGGCGAAGAAGAGGAAAACGAAGACAATGAAGTAAGTATAGGAGTTTTTTTTTCAATTTTTCTCTGTCAGATGAAGTAGAATTAGTTGAGAATGCCGAAAATGACTCTGAACTAATGCTAAGCAGCTTTTTTCAAGCAGTGAGTGCTTGCTGCAGTGGGAATTTTCAGGATAATTCGAACGATGGCGTCGGTAACCGTAGGCTGCGGCAACGTCGGGACAGCCTCAGAGCGAAACGGCTAGCTGCGGTTGAGGTAACTGCGTCAACATTATCTTTCAGAAGCTGTCACTTCTCTAAGTTTTTAATGTCCAGGAAGAAAAGCGTGCATACAGAGCTGCCATTGCCGCAGGTGTTCGCAGTGCCGGCTCTTCTCACAAGAGTCCTGATACAAAAAAAGCGGTCAGCTTTTTTCATCTTCCATGGTTTGAAAGAAAACGAATCTTTTTGTCTAATGCTCTAAATTTTAGCCCACAAAGCGTACATCGCTCGGTAGTTTACCTAAAAATTCGACGCCATTGAAACGCCAGCGACAGGACCAAATCAACGGGCACAAATCAAACGGGTTTTCATCGGTAGGAAAGGCTTTGGTTTTTCAAATATTAGGTTTTGTATTTGTTGTGCTATGGTATTCAGAGTGGTCGTGATGACGCGAGCCTTCCTCCCAGTCGTCAGGGGTTTCCTCCTAGTGTGAGGGTGGGAATAGCTTATTGGAAGAAACTTAACTTCTGGTTAGAATGATTCATAGGGAAAGAGGAAAAATAGGAGCAGGCAATATTTAGCCTTGAGAGGCACGTCGCATTTTCCGTACTCGTCGAGATATGATTATGAGATAAGACATATATAAGGAGATTTAAGGCTGAAGATCTCAAATATAAGGAGATTCAAGGGTTTTACTACGGGTTAATCATTAAGTTGTGGAGCGTCAAGCCCATCAATGATTTTTCCGCTTATGAGTACATTAAAAATCCTCACCATGCATTTTGTTAACGAATCAGAAATGAGAACGTATATGGGAGGAACGAGAGCGAGCGTCTTCTGAGAAAGGGATGAAAGAGAAGGGGAGAAAAGAAATGCCATCAATCGCTCTCAGGATTTCCTACAATGGCTATCGTCTCAACTATTTTTGCAGGGTGATCGGAAAGCTCTCGTTGCAGGCCATGTTTTGGGACACTATCTCAATTCCTTATAGTTTAGGCTCAGCAGGCCAAATATGTGCCGGAAGAGGAAGAGCTAGGAGAGGATTGCTTTGTTATTCTAGACGATGACGAAGTGGAACTTTAGTCATTGTTTCTGGCCAAACGTTCATAATCTCACCGCTGCACCTCTCAACAGCACAAACCTTTCAGTGTTATGTACTTTTTTGTTTTTCTGTGATTTATTTGTTTTTTTTTTGGTTCCAATACCAGGTAATACATATAAGAAATATTATGCTAATCCTAGAACTATCCTCCTTTTTTGATGCGCTGGAATTCAAATTCCTCCGTGCTGTCCCTTACCACCTGTTTTCTATCTGTGAAGTATTCTTTCACTACTAATTAATGATTAGTTTGATGTGATTTTGGCCTGTCTCTTAGCTGTTCGTGATATCTTAGTCTGGAAGTGAGTTGGCCTAAAATCATCAATCGCCTTTTTATGTGTTTCTTTTCTGTTTTTATTGGCATCATCGATGCATGACTGCAAACAGCGATTGCTGCCGCGTTTTAGCACATTGTTTTTCTTTTACTGTGAATTCAGAACGGTTCTACGTTGTATCCTTTGTTGAAGACAGCTCTCTCCTAATTCTTAGAATTGTCTGTTGTTCTGTGATTTAATATGACGTTTATTTTGTTGTTTACACGAAAGTAAATTCGCATCTGTTGTGCTGAAAGTTATCGTTTTAATACCGTATTTCGTTCCTTTCTTGTTCTATTCATTGATTTACTGCTCCTATTGTTTGTTTTAATACGAGTAGTTACTGATCTTAACATGCTGTTTTACCAGATGTCGTTTGGTTTGTTTTTGTAAAAAGAATAAATTTAGTTCTACCGTTGGTCTTGGTGGTTTGTGCTCGGTTTATTGGCAGTTTCCTTGTATATACTTTTTTTGGAGTCAACTGATGTTGAAAGCGCGATTAATCGTTGTTGCGTAAACTTGTGGTTAGCATATTATCATGTGGGTCCTGGCTTTGAGTTACGCGTACTTTCCTCGTAATTGTTTTTCCATATTTGAACAGAAGTAGCTCTGCAGGATCCCCACACACCAACCTCGTCTTTTCCCAATCAAATCAACTATTAATCACTTTACAAACATTTTTACCTTTGCCTCTGGCGAGTGAGGAGGACGGTGTGTACTGTATCACCTGTATCACCTGTCGTCCCGTTGATCATCGAATTGCTCGAGCGGGCGCCAGCAACGTCTCCATTCGTCCCTGTCGCGTGCTAGGGTGGTCCAGTGGATCCTCCTTGCTCGAGGGACACGAAGTCCATCATTCCTTTCGTTCAGAGCTTTCGTGAAGAAGTCTGACCATCGGGCCGGCGGTCGTCCAGGTGTTCGTTTGACGTCCCGAGGGATCCAGTCGGTAACCGCTCTGGTCCAACGGTCATCGCAAAATCGCATGACGTGTCCGGCCCACCTTATCTTCGATTCCTTGGCGAAAACGGCAGCGTCCCTGATCTTCGATCGTTGGCGTAGTTCGGCACTCCGGATTCCCCTCTGCACTTGCGTGTATAGGGTTACTCCTAGCATCGTCCTCTCGACAGCGCGTTGGATAACGCTGACCGCATGCTCGTCCTGCCTGCGCAGAGTCCAAGTCTCTGAGGCGTAGGTTAGGGCAGGAAGGACAGCGGAATCGAAGAGGTGGGCACGGAGCCGGATGTTCTTCGTCTTCTTCACTACTCCCTCGATGTTCTTGTACGCTCCCCAAGCCGCTCGTTTCCTCCTGCTCAGCTCTGGAGCTAGATCGTTCATCATATTGATTTCCCGACCTAGGTACACGTAGCTGGAGCATTCGGTGATGTTCGTTCCGTTGAGCGTGAATGGGGCATCAGGAACCAATCCGTTTCTCATAAACATCGTCTTCGTTAGGTTCAGCTGTAGACCAACCTTACCACAGGCGCAGTCGAAATCAGCCAGCATTCGCTCCGCTTGCTCGATGTTCGGCGTTATAAGAACGATGTCGTCAGCAAAACGAAGGTGGTGTAGTTGCCGGCCGTCGACCTTCACTCCCATGTCTTCCCATTCCAGTTGACGCATGACGTTCTCGAGAGCGGCGCTGAAGAGTTTGGGCGAGATGGTGTCGCCCTGTCGAACCCCTCTCTTGACGTCGATGATGACCTCCTTGTAGAATGGTGAGATTCTGGTCGTAAAGTTGCTGTAGAGCTCACGAAGAATCTTGATGTACTGAGTAGGGACGCCCTGGTTGCCCAAGGCTTCGATGACCGCTTCTGTCTCCACAGAGTCGAAGGCCTTCTTCAAGTCGATGAACGTGAGACAAAGCGGCATCTTGTACTCCCGTGAAACTTCAATGAGTCTCGTAACCGTGTGGATATGGTCGATCGTGCTGAACCCTCTTCGGAACCCTGCTTGCTCGCATGGCTGTCCTTCATCTAGTATTCTGCCGATCCTGTTAAGGATGACTCGAGTGAATAGCTTGTAGATTACAGACAGCAGGCAGATTGGGCGATAGTTGCCAATGTCGTCCAGGTCTCCCTTCTTGTACAGCAACACGGTCCTGCTGGTTTTCCACGGAGTGGGTACCTTGCATTCCGACAGGTAGCGCGTGAAGAGTCGAGCCAGAGTTTTGATGATAACTGGCGGTGCGTTCTTCAGATGTTCCGGTTTAACCCTGTCGAGACCGGGCGCTGTACAATTCTTCACCGACTTGATGGCGTGTCGGACTTCGGAAGAGAGAACTGAGGGACAACGTATCCATCCTCTTGCGGTTGATAAGTAGGCAGATGGACATGGCTATCGAAGAGATCCGAGTAGAAGTCGTGGATGACTTTCTCCATTGCCCTTCGGGATGCAGTAACTGTTCCATCTGGACGTCGGAGGCAGGTCATCTTGGTCTTGTAGCTGGCAAAGCTTCGGCGGGCATTGCGGATGCTCCTCCCAGCCTCTGCTGCTTCAGCTAATACTGCTGCTCTTCGCTCCTTGAGATCTTCCTTTATCGCCTCTCTGCATAGCTTCGCAAGCTCGGACGTGAGTCGGTGATTGCCTGCAGCTCGTGCGGCCTCCACGTTGAGTGCGCCTCCACGCTGGCGTATCAGTTCGAGAGTTTCCGGAGACAGACGTCCCTTGGTGACTTTCAAACTCTCTGCCTTCTTGCCACAATCGTGAAGATGTTCAACGAGCCGATAGTACTCCTCGTCGATGTTTTCGATGACGGAATCCTCCCATAAGCTGACGAGGGAAGCGAAGTGGTCCCAGTTGATGACTGTCCTGGGGCTTCGCTTCCTGAACTTTGCTGCTCTCTCAACACGCATCGAGAAGTGGAATCTTGCGCGGAGGAGACGATGGTCCGATCCCGTGTAGAACTTTGGAACAACAGCGACGTCGGTCAGGCAAAACCTTCGATTGAAGATGATGTGGTCTATCTCGTTATGGAACTGTCCATCAGGTGACTCCCAAGTCCAGCGAAGGTGAGAGGGCTTCTGGAACTGCGAGTTACCATGGATGGTATTGGTCGACATGATAAACTCAGACAGTCTTTCGCCCTGCTCATTCCAATCCATTCCGTGAGTACCGATGTGAAGTTCTTCAGCCGTTCTTCTCGGGCCAATCTTGGCGTTGAAGTCGCCGACGATGACCTTGAAGAAGGTATGGTCTTCCTTGTAGAACTTCTCCAATTCCATATAAAATGCTTCGTGTTCCTCCTCGTCGTAGCTCGATGTTGGTGCGTAGGCGACGAAGATTGTCAAAGCAGGAGTTGAACCACATCTTCTCAATCTCAAACGTCCGATTCGGGTCGTAAGGCTTTCGTACGAATCGATGTTTATGGCCAAGTGCGTGTTGACGAGGACACCCACACCGCCAACGCCTCTGCTGTCGCATGTTCCAAGGAACAGTTCTTCTCCAGTATCGAAAACGGCGTGTAGCGGGCGGTGCCTTCTCGTCTCGGTCAGTCCGATGACGTCGTACTTGATCTTCCTGGCCTGCATCATCAGATCTTCGATGTGAGCTTCGGATGCAAGCGTTCGTGCGTTGAAAGTACAGATCGCCATCTTAGTCCTTCTTCGTTTAGGCAGCCTATCCGGGCCCTGAGATTCTAGCAGCCTCTCCCGAGCGGTCCTACCCAACGCTGCCGTATTGGGGGCTCCCTCAGGTTCAGGGGAATGAGGCCCATCCATATTGCTGTTTTCGGCATATTGAAGGCACACGAGTAGCTTGCCAGGCTCTGTCGTGCGGGCTAGGATAGACCTCCAGGTAGTTAGCCACGCTATCCTGGAGCGGAACAAGGGGCTTTATTTCTTGGAGGCGGCCCCGAATCGCCTCCCATGTACTTCCCAGTCACTTGAATGCAAGCTTTTGGCTGTGCCGACATGCAGGATACCAACCGCACACACACAGAGCGCACCACACACGCAAGCATGCATGGATGCGCCTGAGTGGAGACAGCTGGTATGAATCAACACAGCACTACAGAAACAGGGAGTCCATCCCCTGAATCCACCTGCGTCTCAGGGCAAGTACATGGTGGCTTTTGGTCCGCGATTTACCCCCTATCCGCCACCTGGGGTCGCGCCACGTAGCCTCGCCACCAACCGGCTCGAGATCTTTCAGTGAGAGAGGACCCTCAGTGAAAGAGATCCGTGGACCACAGGAAAAGAGCGGAGTTCTCGAAGGTCGAACTTTCAGACAAGTGTCGCGCCTCGCATGCTAAAAATTTCTTCTTAATATTGTTTGTTGCTTAGTTTTTGAGCGATTACCAGCAAATGCATGCCTCAACCATGGATGCTTTAAATTTAAAGGTGCAGAAAATTTTCTGTATTTTACCATGAGTTCTTCCCTCTACTTTCGATTTTGTTTAGGGGAGGAGTGCGCTACGAATTTCAGCAAATTGGGGGGGTATTATAACTTCGTATATTCTATGCTTCCCGTGTTCCTTAGGCCCTGTTCAGAGATGTCCGCTTGCGCGAAAAAACGCATAGGCGAAACAATGTGAAATATGTATCGACTGAACGAAGACGCACAGGCGAATCGTGAAGTGGGAGGATCGACGAAAATGAGTATCATACGCATCGACTTACGAACGCTTCGCTCACGCGATTTTCCGCCTGTGCGTTTCTCACAGTCGATACATATCAAACTCTTGACTGAAATTCGCCTGCTCCGGACGTTTCGCTTACGCGTTTCACAATTTCTCAGTCGATGCGTATCTAAATCTTGGCGGAGATTTTCGCCTGTGCGTTTTTTCGCGCCGGCGGACATCTCTGAAACAGGGCCTCAGGGACAGCTGAAGCGGAGCTTGAGACTTCGCAAAAGCAATGGATGCGTGTCGATCAGGAGGCCAATTTGAGATTCCCCTATGATTTGCAGGAAGCGGGGTCAACCCAACCAATCCCTACGCGGATATTCTGATTTCCTACTTCCTCTACTCTTGTTTCTCCAACGCTTCACTTCTTTTATTCGGTGAGATACCATTCTTTCGACAGATTCTCCAGTCTTCCAAAAGGCTTGCCATGAGCTCCGGCAGAGTCGCCCTGCATCGAAGCATTAAAAGGGACACTAATATAGAGCGCAAGTTCTGCAGTGGTTCAGTCAATGTGTTTTATTCGACGCCTACATGTAACATTAACGTTTCAATGTTTCTTCTACCTCGGATCTTCAGTGATCATCTCGAGTTGTGACATAACAAACAGCACTTTGTTGCAGAATAAGTGGTGTATGCTGTAGAATATTATCGTCAGGAATCTGAAGGACCATGGGATTTCATGTGTTTGAATCAACTGTACCACCTCCCCCTTTGCCCGATAATAAAGTGTAAGTTGATTCAAAATTTTAAAAAAATGTGTTCATCAAGAAATAGTTAACTTTATGAATAAAGGGAAGCTTTCAGAAGACGCGGTTATTACACGCGTAGTATACTTTGTGATGCTGTTAAGCAGGTAATGCTCGGAATAATGACGGTCACTCAGGCTTCTCGACACTATAAAATTCCTCGTACAACTATCCAGAAACATTTTAGGTGAGATCTGCAACTTGATTTTAGAGTGATATGTGGTTATTTTGATCTCTCGGTGTAGCAGCTAAGGCTGCGGATAGGCAGGATAGCTTATGCTGGCACCCTGAATCTAAATTTTTTTTAATTTTTAGCAAAGCTCGTGAGCAACACAACCTCAAAGAAATGTATATCCGAAGGATGCAAGCTGCTGAAAAAGGCTTGGTCGGTCGAGTGCCTGAGAGTGATCTTCAGCGAAGGTTAGCGGATCACGGAACGGCGTGCCTTATTTCACACGGAGTGGTGAGTTTTCCACAGTTCTCGTCTGCCCCCCCCCGTCCGCGGTGTTATGGTTTTCTTTGAATTTTCATTTTTTTACTGCGTCCTCTTTCTCATTCGATCCCTCAGGAGGTGTGGCCAAACAGTTCTGAGGAGTCACCAGCATCCGTTCACTGGCGGCAGCAGCCTGTCAAAATCGAACCATCGCAAGAAGGTTACTTTGTCCAGGAAGGTCAAACATACTCATATGAAAGCGAGATAGCTGTAGCTGAACAGTGCGAGGTAAATGTCGCAATATTTCTACTAGAGTTTATTGCTCAAACGTGTGCTTTCAGGTTGCGAGTGAAGATGTGGAACATCTCCAAACTTCAATACCTACTTGTGAGTCAGAAACAATTAGGAAACCATCAAATCCACGTCAGTTTGAGATTTGAATTTCCTTTTATCTATTTTGCGGCCGGTTCTAAAATTTTTCAATCGCTCTTTTTTGTCGAGAAATCTGTGTGTCAAAAAGTCATGTTCCCCTGTTTTTTTTTCTCTGTTGAGTTCTCTTGCTCATGTTCATCAATTTGGGTTCGGGTGTTTTGCGTCTTTTTGCATTTTCTATCGGTGCCATCACACCTCAAAAAGGATTAGTGTTAGTTAAATTTCCAACTGAAAATTTTCGAAAACTTTTTTGAGTCACCGTTTTTATCCTTCCGCGGATATGGTATCAGCTAACTCACCCTGGAGGGATGGAAGCCGTATTTGCTTAGGCGATATCTGGGATCTTCACACCATGTACATGGTATGCGGCACCTGTTGCCGCTCCGCTACCTCGTCTCCATTCCCATTCTGGCGGCTGTTGCTTATCTCCCCGAAGACGTAAGGGGACAAAATTCCTTTAAAATTTTCGTCCATCTTCCCAACTGGGATTACCCTGAACAATGGCCTACATTTAATGTATGTGTGTAGGTAAAAGTAAAACATGTACTGAGAATAATAGAACTATTTCGTTCAAAACAAATAAATTTGAAGGAAGCTTTGGATCACCTGGCTTGGGGAAAGAATAGCATACGGCCCCTGTGATGACGAGAATGAAACAGGCTTTTTCGCCTTCACATCTGGGCTGTGTACCATGAGATTAAGACGGGGCTGAAATCCATTTTCACAAAATTTAGTTAAGACCTGTATTTTTAAACAACTCCGAACATGCATGCATGGATTGTTTGGATTCAATTGTAGCGATTGTTTTTCGTCTATTTTAAATTCATTACTTAACGCTGTCTGGTCGTTGCGGGGGGACCCCGTAACCCGGCTTTCTCCGTGCTCCCATAAAAGCGCGTTATCCCTCGCGTAGTTCTGCAGAAGGGAGGAAAGTGAAGAGTCGTAAAGTCGATAGTAGATCGATGACAGATCTCAAGTATCCGGAGCCACAATTATTTGAGATCAAACACCAAACTGTGTTGCAGCCACGAATCCAAACATAGAAATTATAACGATAGGACTATGGCCCATCTCGCATAAGATTTATATTGGAGGAAGGTCAGAGACATTACCAAATAAACACTAATACGCACCACCATACCCGACTACTTACGCAGTTTTACGTTGGTCGCCGCAGTATCCCCACGGTCTGCTCCTTGGCTGATTCCTCGAATGCGGATTACCATGCGAGTGAATACAAGAAGCCAGATCACATGACTCGCTTTAAATTAGAAGCATCGATCTTTGACACGCTCTCTGAATCGATGGGAACTTCTGACATGTCATAATTTTACCTGACTGGGATTTTGCCACCGTAAAGACAACTCTCATTTAAGGAAACTATGGAAGGCATATATCATCAACATTTTCCTGAATCTATATCTTGGTGGGTATTCAAACGAGTGTAAATCAGAGTCAACGCAAATAAATAAGGCACTGACAACCACAAAAACTCTTCCCACCTCCAGTCGAAAGCACCTCATAACATTAAATCACCAACCCACCCAGCCAAAACTCGCGACCCGCAGCGCGCAATATCGGCACAACAACGCCTACACCCACATCCAACTCATCGATCCGAACACATACAACCAACGAAACGAACGCACGGTGATACCACTGTAACAACGAAACACCATGCACCGCATCGCAAATTACATAATACAAAAACCCACGTAAAACAACAGCAGAAACCAAATAATAACAGAAGGCTCAAAAAAAACAAAAGCATCAAGCCACGCCAAAAAATCACAATTCTGAACGCCTAAATCAAAAAACGCTCAACGTAACCGACAAAAAAAAAATTCACCCAAACATGCAATCAACACAACGGCACCCACCACCCAGCCCGCACACAACCCACCCCCAACCAAAGCCTCCATCCCCTCGATCAATCACAACCAGACAAAAACACGTAAAACCCCCAATCAAAGCCAATCCACAAGCACAACTACAAAAAAAACTCCCATCCAAAACATAATCACGCAAAATCCTACCGACACAAAACAGTAACGATAACCCAACACCTACCACGCGACGGCAAACAATCCACACCGCCAACCAAGCTCAACCCCCAAAACAACTTATAACAAAAACACGACACACCCTCCCCCTCAAGCATTAAGGTCACAGTACAACGCACGCAAAAAAGAAAAACGGGCCCCCCCCCCTCCCCCCTCCCCCCTCTTCCTTCCCTCCCTTCCCCTTCCCCACCCCCCCCCGTCAATAATCCCAACCGCACCCGACTGCTCCCTCCCCTCCCCCCCTCTCCTTCCCCCTCCCCGCTTTGTCCTCGACCTTCTTCGTCCAACCTATTGCCATTTGTTCAAATCCTTTCACTATCATGGCCTTTTTCCCGCACCCTCCCCCTCTGTGCCCCACTCTCGTGCTTTTTATCGCCCCCCACTGGACCTTCGTGCTCTACCCCTCACACCTTCTACGATGCGCTCGTCTATCTAACTTTCACCAGTCCGCCGACGTAGCCTTGTGTTACGCCAGTCAGCCCCGTGTCCTGTATCATTCCTCACTCCCTTTTTTCCCCGTTACGGGTCCGCAAAATGCCTTAATGGTATTAGCAGTAGCAAATAGCTTGTGTATTATTGATAACATTAGATAATATTTTTCGTGAATGGTTTACGTATGAGAAAAACCACTGGTGCTCCAGGACTTTCTTGTTACTTTCACTCAAATTCGTTCCCAGTACATTGACTTTGAAGAGCTGGTAGTAACCTACTCTTCAAGAGGGCTCATTACAAAATCTCTTTCTGAGAGTGGATTGTGCTAATTGTAAGTTGAAATTTTCCTCAACGCAGTGGTTGACCCTGTTTTATAGCGCTAGGAAGAAGGGCCCCGTTGGATAGGTGTTTTATCGAAAGCATACGTATAGCGGCCGAGTTTCTAAGACTGTTATGTTTGTTCCTCTCAACTCATCCGATAGGTTAAGAATTAAGCAGCCCCATCCCTCCTACTCAGTTGTGAGCCTTCAGGGTGATACAAAGTTCCAAAGCACCACCCTGGATGTTTGATCGTTTGCAAAATTTCTGTTCAATCATATGTATCATCTCTTTGCGTTTTAAAATACTCTCTGTCGTGTAGATGTTTTGAATCCCGTCAGAGCAGATAGTTAGTGTTTTTACTGTGTATCAAATTCATGGGCAGTTTTCAAATATGAAAACGGCTGCTTCAAAATAGGTTCAATGTTCTCTCATGCTACTTTCTGTCCCTAGTGCCAAGAAATGTGATTTTTTTTCTTGCTCCTGTATGTTCTATTTTTGTGCTCATGTATCCTCTGAAACTGCTTTGCATAGCTTTATAGTGCTGTTTAATAAATCATTGTAATATTCGGCCTGTTTTTAAAGGTGTTTTTTCACGTAAAGTATTTTCAAAGAGTCATTTTTGCTCGATTTATACTTTGGGTAAATATTTACCGCTTTTCTAGGAATTGCTAAGGAGTATGTCGGCAAGGAAGGCAGTGAAAGCTCTGGTGAAGCCCGAACTCTATCCTTTGTTTTTGTATAAGCGTATATTGAGGTGAGTAAAGTGATTTTGTGTTGCTCGTTTAGTCTTTTTTTATAAGTTTGAAATGTGATTTCTCATCGTTCTTTGCTCAATGATGTCCCACTGTTTGGGATCTTGTGCTATACATCTTGTCGGCTTTTATGTCGATCAGGAGCATTTGTTGCCGCATTGCCTTCGCGCAATCTCTTTGGGGCTGTTTTTGGGCTCTCATTGGTTGTAGTAGAACGAGTTTTATCATTCAATGGTTTCTGGAGGAATAGAGCGGTAGAAGTTATAAGCTCTTCATTAAGGCTTCACTGTGGTTTACCGGCACCGGCCCGATTGATGGGTGACTCATATGTGAAGGATGAATTCCGTCGACACAAGGACGCTAGCCCCGAGTACACCACTATATTTCTTAACGAATGGACGGTGAGTCAACTCAATATGCGAGTAAAGATCTGTTCGATTGATTGATTCGAGATAGAGATCCGCTTAGTGATGCCATTGCAAATCACGAAAATAGGGATAGTGGTGATCAAGAAGAGGTAGGTACTTTGGGGGATGCTATGGTCGTTCTCTTTATGAAGTCGTAGCTTCCTTGTTAGACACATTCCTTGTTCAATTGCCCAAGGGTGAAGGCCCTTAATGTGTGCATATATTAAACAGGTCAAAAGTGTACTTCTTTCCTTTGCTTGCTGTGAATGTTTACGCCTACTCTCAATTTTTGTCGGAAGACCCTGTTCATCCAGTTTTCTTTTCAGAATTATTGCGTGACTTTATCAAAGCAGTTATCCACATCTGGCATCGTCAAAGGGTTCATTGGGAAGGTGAGGCTTTAGCGTTTTTTTTTGTTGAAGAATTCCATATTTCAACCAACCTGGTTTGAGGCTGAAACTTCGCTTAGGCGCCATCACAAAATACGGGGGCATTGTGGTGGCACTACACTCAAAACCGCGTCAAACTATGTTTTTTAGACGGATTTTAGTCTTGGGCGGAAAAAGAGCGATTTCAGTGTGAGTGAGTCATTTTCATTTTTTCCGAAGTTCCGTCCTCCTAAGCCTATTCCCAGAGGACGTCCCCGTATATTGCGATAGCGCCTCCGCTTGATTCAGTGGAAGAATTAATTGTTTGCTTCTAACAGTCATCCGTCTTCATTCAAGCTCTTTCAGGATTTGGAGCCGGAGAAGCTAGACAGTTTTGCCGAAGAACAATTGCGGCAGTTGCTAGAACTTAAGCTTGAGTCCGAGCGAATGAAAAGCGAAGTAGATGCATCAAAGGAAGCCTCAAGTGATACGTAGCCTTCTGATGAAGAACAGATGTGAAGTCACTGTCGCGTATTTCCAAAGTGTTCCGAAGTCTTTGTTATGCAGTGCGCTAGAATATTGTTGTTGAATAGCTGTACAAATAGAAGGTGAGATTTGTGTTATTTCAAGCAAGTACCACGTATTAGGTGACTGCTTATGTTATGAGATTTAGACGCGTGAGACACATTAGTTAGTTTAGTTTAGTTTAGTAGTACATAGTTTTATGCTAGTATAATTTTATCAACATCATATTTGTTTGCTTCTCAAATTCTCCTCACATATGTGAAATCCAAGCCAGACCATCAGGGGTATTAGAAGTCTACAGGCCATCCGAGTATTCGTCGATATACAGTCGTTTTTCGAAAATTTTTGAATCTCATTTTAATGCTAGGCGCAGCTAAGCATTGAAGTCACCTCAAATTCACATAGCACATGTTTAAGAGAAGAATCGCAGTGTGTAGCAAGGTTCTCCAAAGTCGAAAATCTTAGTTGAAAAACATTTTTTCCGTTTTAAAAATGGCGCGTTAAAAGTTTGGAAACTTCCTGTTTCTTTAATCATTATGATTTCACTCTATGAAGTTTGGACGAATTTTGGGCGCTCATGGCCTTCGGGAAGGGACTATTTAAAACAGGGACCGGATTGTAAGTAACACTAGGATTGAGCCTAGGAGAGGGGGGAGACGTCAGGGAGAACAAATGGCTCACACCCTCAATCAGAACAATTCCTTTTCCTTTATGGCATAGACCCACATAGTGCAAGTGGCTCCCCTCGACTTGCATACCCCCTCCCCCCCCGACAACAGACATGAGCGCCCTGATTTGTATTATATTTAAGTGTCAATTATTATGTTTATGTGTTTTCATGATCTATAGACAAAGATACCACTCGCTCTCGCGAGGATTTGTGCACTTCATATCCGAAATAACGGAATACACGTTGTTATCGTGAGAAGCGCTATTACCTAAGACTTCTAGCATTGTCCGTAAAACGCTTGAACGATAAGACAAGTCTTTTATTTGTCAAAGCAGTTACGCTTTTTTGGAGAAAGCCGGTTCCGTCGTTGACCATCTACTCGGACGCTAGTGGAGTCGGCTAACTCATTTTTTAAATTTTCACTACCTCCGAACATTGAAAAACATGACAATGATCTTGAATGATTTATAACGAGTATACCACGATCAACGACTCTAGAAGAGTTTTTCTTGTTCACTCCACTTCTAGTAATTAACGAAACGCCGGTCGCTCTACATAGAGAATTTAGCATCGGATAGTTGTATTAGAAGGGCGTATCGTGTTCGAATATCTCGTCAGAAAATGTTGACATGCGAAAAATTCTAGGGTTTTTCGATATACTCGTGTATCTAGCAAGATCCATTGCTCATGTTTGCTCATTGCATCTATCTATCAATTACAAGTTGTTTTGTAGGATTTCTAGTCAGTATAACTTTAGTATAAACTAGGTAAAAGTTGTTATTAGATTTGAACCCGTGTCTCACGGGTTTATTTAGAGATCATCAACGATTGGTTCTTCATCATAATTATAGTTGTTTTCTTAGTGAATGAACTGTTACATTGTGTTTTTTGTTTACGAGGGACGTATTCCCCTCTCTGAAAGTGGTTTTTTAGCAGCCGTGACGTGGTGCATGGCCATTTCACTACAAGAAGTTCACCGTACCTGGAAGGTTAGTGTGTTGGTCCGAAAGAATGAAGGTGATTTAATTCTGTAATGATGGTAATGTGGGGGGAAGTGAGTTTGTCAAAGTTATTTGATTAACCTTGTTCATAGACGCTTTCACAATCCCAAAATCAAAATTCGTATATCTGAGTCAGACGGCAAGATCTGTAATGAAGTAGTTGAAGTAGTTGAGTGGAGCGCCTCAGAGATCAGCTCAGGATGTTCATTTTCCAAATTATCTGACGATATCCTATAAGGAAATGAACACGCTTCCGTTGTAATGACTGAATCGAATGAGCCCAGATTAGTCATTTGGTCATGGTTTTGGTAATGTGAACTTCGGGTTTTGAGGGGTTCTCCTCTATATATGCCGAAATTCGAACTGCATTAGGTTCATTAAATGCGCATTCCACAAGTGGTACGATCCTGTTCGTTTGTGAGGTAGACCAGATGGCATGCACGCAGATCGTGCTATATTTGCGAGTCCAAAATGCGTGGCAAGATATAGCCCACAAGGCCCGTCTCGTCCGAAATGCGTTCTCTGGTTGTTAACGCTAGTATCTGCATCTATTTCCTCTTTTTTCTCTTTTCTTCTCTCTTGGGCGGAAGTGCTGTGAGTGGCACGCACCACGCGAGCGGTCCGGGGATCAAATCCTGGGTCGTGAGTCGCCCGGGCCAACCAAGCCTTCCATCCCTCCGGGGTCGGTTAATTGGTACCAGACTTGTCTGGGAGGATAAAAAACACTGACTTGTACATCGGCTGGCCCCGCAAGTCATTGTATAGGCCACATCGCATTCAAACGCCACTACGAATGTACAAATGGAAGTAGAATGCGTGCCGCATCCCAAAAAGGGATTGATCAACGGCAAATGCTTTATCCTTTATCCTTTATCTGCATCTCTTTGACCTTTCTCTGACCTCCGTCTTTACTCGCCCTTTCCCGTCGTTTCATCTTTCGACTCCCACCTGCCATATCCTGCTATCTTGCAATGGGCCTACAACAGCCTACGATACCATGAGGTTTTCTCACTAAATATTATAACAGCTGTCACTAATTTTGCATCAAATTACTCTCACAGTTTTCGGAAAGGTGGCGGAGGGGGAGTGGGGTAGTAGATTGTTCCATTGGCATAACATGGCTGAAAAGCGTATTTCGTAAATAGGCTAACTCAGCCACAGAGCCTGAAAATTTGAATTCTGAAGAGGCGCATTTCAAACAGATGGGTAATAGCCAAACGTTGCATAAGAATGCGATACGGTTGTGGCCAACTCTTATTTTTCTATGGCGTCATTTCCATCTCGGTGGCGAATTTATTCGAGCTAATGGGAAGTAAAATTTCCAAGAAGATTCCACCGGTAGAGAAAACTCGCCTCGCTTGTCTCCGCTTCTATAGTTGTATTATTTTTCTTTTTGAAATTAATCTGCTCAAGCAGGTATTCTATCCATCCCAAGAAGGCCAATACACTGCCACTTATCTTCGGTTCTTTGTATTGTTTCTGAGATCTGTGAATTGTTCTTCTCAAGCTCTACATCTCCAGAATGTTGCTTCCTGATTAGACTAAATCTGCGGTTCTGCTCGTCTGGATTGGCTCGATGCCAACTCAACGGAATTAATAAGCTCGGTTGTTTGAGTAGGAGTTCAATCCTGCGTAGCAAGCTGCGATATGGCTTTCCCACATAAAGAGACTAGAGAGTCGATCCATAAACTAGATATGTTACGCGGCGAAACTGCCAAATTTTTTATTATTTGGTCTCTCATTGCGCCGTTTCATTGCAGAATTAATTTCGTTCCCATCACCCCGATATTACCGCTCGGAAGACACTAATAATCACATGTAACGAGCAAAGATCGGTTTTCAGTCATAGATAAAAGACTTTGAGTTGCGCCACGCACTCAAGTTCTGCTCAGTTTTCGACGTGATTAGGCTTGGCATGCAGCATTGTTTAGGAGCTGAGAAGGCGTTGAAGATCTGAGCTTTCCTCCTAGCGCGCAGGAAGCGACCGCTGCTTTTAGGTTCGGTGAACTTGCATGTAGCTAAGAATTTGTTCCAAGGCTAGACGAGAGGGAACTGTTTTATGTTCTTTACTACAGCGGAGCAGGTGAATAAAAGCGCCCATTGATGGCTTAAATTGATCTACAGGATTGCGCCATGGATACCATATCATCGTTGAAGCACTGAATGAATTGAGGGTATGGATTATAAAACGGCTAGGCATTTCACGCTATGGAGAAAGTACGATTGCTGCTGGAATAGCTCTTCCTTTAAAGTTGGATTGCTTCTATATTTTGTGATTCTTCACTCCCATAGCCCATATTCCTTGCACAATTCGCTCATTCTAAATCCAATAAAGGCATTGCTCAGTACATGCTTGATGGACTTGGCCTGGAACAGCAGTGTTTGTATGAGTTTGCACTACACTGAGCTTTGCAAACTTGAAGTTGAATTCGAAATTTTACATGCAAATTCAATAAGAAGGGAAGAGACGCCTCTTCGAAAACTTTTTACCGATCCTATTGTGGAACTAATCGGCTCACTCAAAAGTAACCCTCCATTTCATAAGAAGTAGCCCTCTTATTTGAGGAATCTTCAACAGGCTGGGCTGCTCTAGCAAAAAGGAGGTCGATTTTATGGCTCGTGAAATAAAAGGCCTACTAAAAAGAGAAGTGTTAATGGATAACGGTGAAAGCTAGCTTGCTTCTGATGCAATGACCGCTGTGATCCTTTGTGAAAGACGTATCCCTATTAGGGGCGGGTTTTACGATACCAAAGGTGCAGGGGGGAAGAAAACGAGACCTGGGTGCTAGACCCGACAATGGGACCTTTTTTTATGGCCGTTGTAGTTTTTTCCACACTTCGGGAGAGGCAAGCGCTTTACTATATAATGGATTATAGGGCTGTGAGGAACATTTATCGGAGCGCTTGTAAAACTTTGAATTTTTAGGGAAGTGGCATCAAAAATCGCGCTTTGCACGAAGGGCGAGTGTTAACCTTCAAGGGACCCCAAACTTGAAGGAAGCGCTTGAATTTAGCTGGGATTGGGCGACTGTTCCTTATCTGAGGTGCCGTCAAGCTCTACGTCTTGATCCACGTTGGCAGCCAGGCCGTTGGTCGTTTCCTGTGAACACGCAAGTGGACGAGAAGGTTGCAGGGAGTCGTGATTGCTTGTCCTTGATCAAGCGCCTCAAGTGCGACATTTGAGCGGAAAGGTGACCGAATTCATAATATGGGTCAGGCGTGCTTTCCTACGCGAGAATGCCTAATATAAGGTTGTCTTTAGAACGGAAACAAAAGCGGCAACAACATGAATTTTTATG